GTTGCGCGTGCTACACATGTGCAGCACCGTTCTTATAAGAATATCCATGAATATCTCTAACACTTCAATGCAATGAGAATACCGTTCGGAATAAGGTAACGACATGTAGAAAAGAGACTGCATCATCAGTATGAAGAAAATCCTACATCACTGATTATTGCTACGGAAGACTTATACTCTGGAAAACTTTACTCATACCTCCTTTTTACCCCGCGAGCCAGAGAATGTGGCGAAAGACAACATGTGAACGAGGAAGATCTCGCCACTATTCCACACTCGAATCGCTGGGGCATCTTTTAAACCCCACGATTCGTTGGCACCCTCTGGATTCGCAAAGTACGACGCGTGTCTAAAGAGCATGGTCTGGTCCACCCCTAATAGTTTAAAGCTGCCTTCGACAACTTGAAGACTCCATTTAGCAGCTCATCAATACGTTGACGACAGCGCAGGCTTTAGTTTTTTGCCGCATGGGACATGGGCATTTGGCGGGCGCGATTTGCCTGACGCGCAAGCGCGTCAGCTTGTCCCACGAGGTGCGTTTTTCGGAACTCAAAACTGAAAAGTAGGCAAAACAAGGGTACGCTAGTTGAAGGAAGGGGCCCTCGGCCAAGACGCACGCTGCTTGTCTCTACCCTCTGAGCGAAACACTGGCGATGACATCAGTGCAAAATATGGAATCAGTAGTCTGGGGCAATATAGCCAGTTCGAGAGATGGGGAGTGAGGAAGGTCGGGGATTCGAATGACATGCGTAAAATGCTGTAATGTGCACATTCACACTACCTTTTCGCATAGATAACTGAGGACTAGAAGTGATAGAATAACTGCTGATGTTGAGCGTGAATACTTTCAAGTCAGTAGCTTTCCACGCATTTGTGTTAGCGGAAGTAGCTAAAGGTTTGAAAGGAGGTAATAGTAGAAGGTAACACGTTGACGACATCGCGTTTTGGGTTTTTGCACCGCGTGGGACCAGAGCGATTTTGCGAGCGCCGCCGCCGCACACCAAATCCATGGATTTTGAGCTGTAAATACGCAATACTTAGATGCGATGAAGTGTTTTCAATAATGTTCGATCTGTCTAACTTATCGGGTTACAGTAATGGAAGTTCGACCGAAATGACGTGTTAAGGCCATGAAAAGGCAAATTTTACTTACTTTCCCTTTAGTGGTTCCAAAATTAATTTGGACGTGGTTGTTTCAGTAAAAACACATATCTTGCCATACGAATAGGTTTGTATTCACTTCTATTATTCCTTTTTATCACATGTTCGCGTTAATGAAAGAAAATGAGGAATGAACTGAACGGATATTTTCGTCAGGTCCGGAAAACCTCTGCCAAACTAAAGAATATTTGGTCATTCTGTAAGCCACGTGGTTCTTGGTTATGTTGATGTATGGCCTATAAAATGAACACAAAAAACCTTGGAAGAAATCGAGCATGTGCGCAAAAAATAAATGTAATGGTGTGGCATACATAGTTGCCACAATGTCCATGAGGTGCAAAAATGGCGGCATACATAGTTGCCGCGCTGTCGTCAAGTGTTGAAGATGTTACGCAATTATAACCGAAGAACAAGGACCTCTTTGCGGCCTCAAAAACAAAAAGGTTTAACACGCGCTGCAGATGTAGAAAGTTCTTTTGATTGACTGCTTCTATGCAAAACGTACCATCTATGAACCGTAATTCCTTGCCATTTTTGTATCACTTTGTTGTTTGCATTTATGTTTTGTTATTACTTGCTTGTTTACTCCAAAGTAGAGATCGGAAATTGAACTAAACTGTAGGTTTAGCGAAGTTCAGAAAACCTTGCTCAACTAAAGCATATTCAATCCTTTTATGGACCATGCCGTTTACAAGCATGATAATGTATGGTCTATATAAAGTAACAAAAAAGCCGTCGTCAACGTGTTAATTTTACTGAGAGCGATGAGTTGCAGTAATTTATGAGCTCACGTCGTATATTCAGAGAGGGTTGTATTGATGTCCGCTGGTAAAATACGCTCGTCCAAATCCGCATAAATAGTGTAGTTGGAATGATGTCGACTTCGATGGATGCAGTCCTGAAAAGAAAAAAGGACGAGGTCGTGAATAATGATAAATCCAACTCATCTAAGTGCTCAGTCAATTGAATATATAGGATTGAAATTTTTGAGAGCAGGCAACATCTGGCCACATTCTACCTGAGTACCAACAAGGTGCCATTCGATGCTCGGTCTGTCCTGCTTTTCTCTGAAGTATACCACCTCAGCCTCACCATTTTTCACGTAATGTTGTATAAGCTAAAATAATTTCGATAATAGGCCCATATTAGGATAATATTTTGAGAAAATTGTTCCGAACCTTTTCTGTGTACTCCTCCACATCTTTCACGTAAATGTAGAAATGCTGAACGCCTTGAAGCTTATAGTGCTCGATATATTCAGCAAACAGCAAGAATTTCGTCCTGTTACCATACATCGGCTTAACGCACATCGACAGAGTGTACTTCGGGTCTGAGATTCACTATAGTAAAGTAATTTTTGAGTGATTGAGTAACCAGAGAGCAACACTGTGACTGTGCTGTGAGATGAGTAAAGAATGAAAGGCTTCATAAATAAGTAAACAAAGTATTCAACGCGAATGCTTAGAAGAGACGAAGGCTAACGCATGGAATCGGGTCTTGTCTGACGTGTTCTCGAGGGCTATCACAGAACTCTGCAGTATAGCAAGATGCACTACGCAATCTCTCCCCTTGTACCGAACCAAACAGGCTAGCAACTCCAAACTTCAACTTAAAGGCACTCGTTAGTGCAATGGGGAAAGGCGGGATCAAGGCAAAGCGTTGCTGCTCCGGGGTAGGGTAGAACCAATCCATTCCTTCATGCACGGTGTGTATGTGACTAGCAAAACGCTTTCAGAGGAAATTAGCGCGATGTCTGGGAGATGCAGGCTGTTTGGAGACATCAGGACGCTGCCTGGTTCAATCACCTCTGTCGGCGTGCTACGGAAGGAGTTGGACCTACATCACACACCTCTCACCAATGATTTCTGAAACCACCGCCGCCTCCGAGCCAGCTATGTTCACCGGCTTTGATATAGAGAAAGGACGGCTCAATTGCCCATTCTATTCGCTGTATAAACCTCGCGCACAAATATGCCGCACTCTTATGAATGAGCGGTTTCTCTGGGGCGCGCCTTGAATAAGATCTATTTTAGAAGTTCTTTCCTGAAGTTCGGTAACTAACCATCAAGCGTGCGATCGGTGACAGGAACTGTTTGATTGATCTCTTCATCTTTAGTGGTGGTGATGCTCATATAATGAGCTTGGCCGCGCTTACAGCAGTAAACAGTGAATTCCGGAAATACCACTGACTCCACAGCCGGCATGATTTCTTTCAAATTCACGTCGAGATATCGGCAATAAACCATTTGCCTGAAAAGTAGGCAAACGAATAACATATAAACATATCCTTCCTTGGCGTTCATGGAATCACTTCTGCTCAGAAGCGTAGTTGTCATAATTCGTTGTTCATGATGTGGTGCCGCCGGTCTGCCCCGTGTAAAAGGCTGTGATATGTCGTCACGAGGTAAGCAAACCAGCCCTTTTGGCGTTTCTGCTGGGACCGTATGCTGAATGTTGGGGAGGGGATGGGGTCCCCAACGGTCGACGGTTTACTTCAACTCGGTTGGTACGATAGGAGAGTACTGACGCAAGTGGTGCAGCTGGTCCAGCAGCTCCGCCAGAAGGGCTGGTTTGCTCACCCCAGGACTAAGCCTTGGAGAGGGGACGGACCCGTCCTCTCTCTTTAAGGCTTAGTTCTGAGGTAAGCACCAAATTGTGGTTCTAAGGACCGAGTTGAAGTGGTCCGTCGACCGTCGGGGACTCCATCCCCTCCCCAACATTCAGCATACGGCCCCAGCAGAAACGCCAAAAGGGCTGGTTTGCTTGCTTCTGTCGTCACTATGTTGTTGTCAGTTTTATTCATTCTTCATCACCCCTATCTTTACGACGAGAGCCTTGGACGTTGCGGACACACGGCAGTACGGTAATTGAATACAAGATCACTGCAACAGAGTTCCAAGCAGAACAATGCTCCCTCACCCTTTCACGAGTTCCATGAGCGCAAATATCAAATATTGCACATTTTGCGCCCCATTGATTACAACTCCCGAATACCGGAATTGTCGAACTGACTGCACTTCTACTGTATATCTTGCTATTAATATTTCATCTCGTATTTAAAACAATAAAGAGGCTTTATAGGGAATCATCGCGCTGTCGCGAAAATACTGGCTGCTTAAGGAACCTCTTTACTGTATCTTCCAAGAGCTCTGCGCGCTAAGAATCTGCATCCATGAAGGTCCCAACGCGGTGCTGCGTTGACCCCTGCACACGACCCCTCCTTCCGCTTGCCAAATACGACCCCTTGTTGGACTTTACCAACGGACGCCCTGTGATGCCCTTCGCCGGTTTTTCAAAAAATCGGATTTTCCTTCGGAATTTACTCGCAAAACAAAAACAATGATTTAGCGTTACAACTAGCAAAAAACAGATCGACTCCTAGGTCAAAAAAGGGGAACTTCGTGATACTCAATCATCCATTCTTCAGAGTCATCGGAGTACTGTTCGAAGACGCCTTCTACCGAACAAACAAGGCAAACTCGTACAAACGATGCGTTTTCTTTTCACTCTTTCATCCTCTATGGATGATACCTGCCATTCTTACCTGCTGTGGTACCTCATGAAATAAAGAGCGAACTTAAAATCTGATAAAATTGCGCTGTATTTGCGATAGCGTCTCTTACACCAGCACAATATGTGACTGAAAAAAAACTGAAGCTTGCATAGGTGCAAGAGTTGTTCTAAGAGCGCACGCGGAAAATTTTCGAGATTTTATGTCCAATCGTAAGCGGCGAAAGGCTTGAAGGACGCGTCATGAAATCATCAAGGCTGTGACCACGAGCCAAGACCCAGAGACCCCTCCCCCCGGGAGAGACAGTGGAATGAAGTATGAAATAACTTGTTACGAATCCGCCCATCGTAGTTTCGCACACAGATGGACGGAGGCCCGCCCACAATGGGCATTGCGTGACTTTGAGTGTATACGTTCCGCACAAGTCCTCATAAATCAGTCAGTAAAATTCTTAGAGAGCAGAAAAAGGTGAGTTGAGGCCGGAGAAGGGGAGGAAGTCAAATGTCGATAGTGGTGTTGGGATGCATCAAAGGTTCGGCTGAACTGATAACTCTTTCTTTATGAATTCTCTGAGATCGGGAAATGTGGATAAAGGTGGCAAAAGGAAGAGAGATCCATTGTCATTGGTGGGTGGGCATGCACTGAAGAAGGCGCGATTTGCCACGAAGCATTATAAGCAGATTTTAAGTATTTAGAGTCTGGAAAACTAGTGGATTAAGGTTAGCGAAAGAAGGGAGGTCGAGTGCTATTGTGTGGTGGAACGTGCACAGGCAGACCCCACGTGGGTGGGGTCTGCCTGGTAGTATTTCAAAAATGGTCCGGTTTTGTACTGTGGCAGTCCCATCTGATGCACGCGAATGCAAGTGCACCAAGCTGGTATATGTACTAGGGATAAATAAACCTCCTTAAAATGCATGTGTCCCAAACAAATTGGTGCACTATTTCGCTTGAACATGAAACAAGAAGTGCGAAGAGGAGCGCCAGTGAGATAAAAAGATTCTCAGAAAACAGTGAAGATGAAGACTCCTCTTTTTCTCATAAGGTTGATTGCGGCACGACGAAGCGGCGGAAGCACAGTGCGACGAGCGCAGGAAATTTTTGAGGGAAAACGTGGTACGAGAGATTAAAAACACCGCTTATATTGAGGTGGCGGCCAAATGGTTGAAAATGTCAGCGGTCAAAAGGAAGTCTCGGTGTCTTTGTTGGAAGTTTCAATAGCGACAGCGCCTTGATCACCGTGTATAGGCATCCGCTACCTCACTCAAGGTGGGATTTGCTTCGTGTCTTCAGCTGCGACCCAAAAGTACAACTATAAAAACTCACCCAAAACGACCATCTGCTTCAGTAGTCACTGCAGAATAGTTAGGAAAACGCATACGCTCCCACCAAAGTCATTGAAAGAAACGGCTGTTGGCGTCGTCCAGTGCCTGCTTTGATGTGATTCTGCATAAGATCATAGAACGGCAAGCAGGACCTGATATGGTCGGTAAAACTTGTCTCCACGTCCTGAAACCGGGATCCTTCACGATTACTTCGTTCTTTTTTTCTTTTTATAAACAACGGTTCCGTAAGGGAGATTCTCGTGCATCATTTGGCTCACCTATACGCACCACTCGGAAGGAGCAAGCAGAACCTTCTGATCTCGCTTATTTCAAAACTTCACTTTTTTCCGTCTTATTGCCTCTATCCCCTCTTTCTTGCTTCTGATCAATCTAGGAGCTTCACTGTAAATTTTGGATCTTACATATCTCACATCGGTCATCACTCGCCTACAGTGAGCATCCAACTCCCTGAGTAGCCTTTATCAACTCTTTCTAGGCTATCTCAGAAACTAGCTATGAGGTAAGAAAACGCGCACTTGAGGATTCTCTCCGCCCATCGCTGGCGCGTCTCCACCTAAGGCCGATGTCAGACTTTGCGAATCGCGCGATTCGCTAGCGTCTGCGGTCGCGTCGCGGCCAGTGAATCACTCAATTGGCTGGTACCGCAACGCGACCGCGGACGCTAGCGAATCGCGCGATTCGCAAAGTCTGACATCGGCCTAATGGATGCGCTCAGAGGGAAAGGCGTTATAGCAGGATGCTGAACAGATTCCAAACATGATTTCACCACGCTATGTGTGTTTTCTAGTAACGCCTCATCTCATGACGGACAATATAACAAACATCCAGAATGACAGGATTGGCTAGGTGAGAGTACTAGAGCAAAAAAATCGCTTATTTTTAGAAATTTTAAAGGCGCCTTTAGCAACATCGTAACACTGGTAAGTTGGTATGACACATGCATAAGTGGATATAGCTTCCCAAAAGTCGTACGCAGTTCGACTCTCAAGCATACTTGGCGCTGTTATGGTACCCAAATGATCGCATCCCTTCGTGATGGATAACGATGGTTGTTTCAAGGGAACATGCGCGGCATAGTCTGACAGGATCATCTCCCTGACACCGCAGCTCCACTCTAGACACTGTGTAGTCAGTAACAAACGAACCACTAACCTTTTTCGTTGTTGTTCAAATGGTCCGCATCATGTTCCGTTCTACAAGAAGGTTGTGTTGTTGATTTCGGATGAGTGCACACACAATAATTGTTAGAATTATTGTCAATGAAAATCACACGGGCACATAGGAAGACTTATAGGCCAATTCCACCATAACCTGCGAAGGACGCAATAGGAGTGTAGCAACATTTATGTAGTTTTCAAATCGTCTGAACGGTAGTAAAGTGCCATAGGACTGGGAGTTAAAGGTGGTGAACTACCGGCCGTAAGCGGTGATTAATGAAGGGCGAGACAGCCAGATGACCCGCTCCGAGCTTCACTGGATTCCTAGCAAAAGTCGCGTCGCCATGGACTTGAACCATGTAGTGCAGCGCCCATGAGCGCGACGTTTGCCACTGCACCACAAAGCATTGCTGTGTTACTTCGAAAGAATTGTAGAAAGCAAGGTAGGATCCTATGAGGGTTGCAAAACATCCAGTATCATGGAGAACTGATCCCGCGAGCGATCCAATGTCAACAAGGAACGAACCCACTGCGCCAATCGACGTGTTTGCAACCTCGGATCATGGCCTAGATGATTGTACAGTAGTGAAATGCTCCCGGGACCAAGGAAGGAGCTATAACACGATCAATAAGTGGAACACTGCGGGGGACAGCTGATCACCTTATTGGCAGAAAGTTATCAATATTATCGATAGCTCCAGTGGCTTTCTTGCTGCCTCCACTCAACACCTTCCACGTACCCCTTTCTTCCCTGCGCTCTGCGCATGGCAGGGACGGAGGGACGCTCAATGCGACCAATGCATGACGTGCAGAGAAAGGGGGAAGTGCATGGGGATTGAAGAGACGCAGATAGGCGGCGACTAAAATGTACTCAGGGGTACATTTAGTCGCCCTCTACATGACCCTCTGCGTCTCTGCGTCCACGCACTTTCCCCTTTCTCTGCCGGGTTCGCCGCCTAGGCTAGGTGCCACCTAATACGTTCGCCACTTAACATGTGGTATAGACCTCGCCCTCTGCGGGAGGTCAGCGTGAATTTCCGCCCTTTCCCCATGCTTTTTGAGTGCCGACGAAGGCGAGATCAACGTGACCTATTGGCCAGCTATAGACTGGCTGATTAGGGCCAACATTCTACCGTTCTAGAGAATGCGCCATGCTTTTCCTTTTTAAAATCGTGGATCTGAACTTCGCAAAGGAGCGCCAATGATATTTGTTAGATATGAGAAAGATGATAATGTTCTATGGAAAACCAACAATGTGAGTTGAGTCTTGTAATATAGAGAGGGCTAAAATGACACACATTGTCTTCCATTGATGCACATTAATCTAGCTTTGGCTTTCTGCACACAGTTGTTTTGGCAGGAGTGTCTTTCGAACATTCTACACAGGTTCTTAAATCCAGAAATGGAACGTTAATCTTACCAATCGCGCCGAGCGAAAGCGGATCTCTGTAATTGCCCCGCCTCTAATCCATTAAGAGCTGGCATGTTTTCTTATGCGACGCTTCTTTGATGGAGAGATTCTTTTCCAGATATATGTAGCACTGTCAAGTCCCTCCAACCAGCGTTCCACAAAAGCTCGTAATGGACAATGATCGTTTGAGGACCACATTGAGCTCGAACCGTCCCAGTTACAGTGGCAAATTCTTCTGATGTCGTCGAGGCAGCAAGCTACAATGAAATTCTTTAACCCATGATTGCCTTTGAGAGCAGGGTGATATCGGTCGAGGAAATCCTCGACAGGGGGTCGTACTTGTCAGGCTGGGTCATGGGGGGTCGTACTCTTGAGGGTCAGTAACAGCAGTGGTATCGTGGTGCAGATAGGTAAGGGGTAGCGCAGCAGAAAATGAAAATATCTGAAAAAAAACATGATATTAAATTTTCTTTGCAGGTTCAGTCGCTCCATTCCTCTACCTTCATGAGAAAAGGGCGTATTTGAAAGCAGTATGAAGAATGAAATTGCATTTTCACAACGAACGGGGCTACATGTGCAAATTGCTGCAAGGGGCTAATAAAACTGCTCCTCAAGCTATGGGGGTCGAAATGTGCTTACTATAATGCAGCTTGGCCATGATCATATAACACCTTTCAGTCGACTCTGCAACTTTGAGTAGAGTTCGGATGCATGGCCTATCCTCAGGCACAAAATTGGATGTGCGACTGCCCCTTTCTTACATGCTTATGTTGGAAGAATGTATTCTAGAAAATTTCGAGAGCGCTGCCAACGAATCGCACCTCGCAATTGTGAAGAACGGAGCGGCTTTTTGAGCTGCCAAAAATCATCCTCGATAGAGACTCGATGCAAATATCTAGTCAACTAGAGAGTTGTAGAAAGGGAGCTGATTATGCCCGTTTAAGAGCGCAAACCTTCCGCTTCCCAAAACTTGTCTTCGTTTTTCTAAGATCTTGCGCGAAATTGGAGAGATATTGCCTTTTAAGTGGCAAAAACTCGCATGAAAATTTCAGCATCCTCGACGCTCCCTCGACGGATTTTGAGAGACTATATCTCTTCGAATGGAAGGCTTTCATAGCAATTCCAATACTGCCTGATAGTAGCAAGTAAGCTTTATCACGTACACAGACACAGAAGAAGACGAGAGGGAGGGCTACCTGTGCCTTTCTTCGAACTTTGTCCCTATCGATCCTCTTTATAAATAGGATTAGTATACATGTGAGCTAACATCGTCTGATGCCGCCTTCTCAACAAGACCGGTTGAATGCCTTCATTCTTACCTCTGCCATACCATATTCATTGCTGCCATATGTCTCACCTTGCCTCGATCTTGGCGAAGCATAAGTACACATACATGCGTTCAGCTTCAGTTTCTTTGGACATTACAGGCCGAATGGCAAGCGTTGTGAAGTACTCTTCGCCTCTATGGGCTACTCTCAGAACTATCTAAATGGTTCGATTACATGTCACAACGCTCTCGTTCAAAAGGAATGTTCCACGGAAAAAACTCCGCCCCATTACCACAGAAAACGTACCATAAAGGAATCTTCCACGGAAAGAATGATCATTTTGCTTGTGTGTAGGGATTAGTATTATCGAAACTGACGCTTATGTTCCGTTCTTTTTGCTATGCTCATGAGGCTAGGGACCTAAGGGGTATCGTTTTTCTGTGGTAATGAGGGGAGGAGCTTTTTCCGCGGAAGATTCCTTTAAGTATTGAGAACACAATGGGGTGCTCCTCCCCTAATTGGATTTTCATCGTTACAGCAAATCTGTGGACACAATTCACCACACACAGATACCTCTCCTAATCGTACCATAGTAGGCATGTTTGAAATAAGGCAATGTTTGCAATTGTTATGATAGGAAAACCTGGGCATGGTACAAACAGTTATTTATTCCGTTTTGATTGAAGGTTGCGATAAAATGGAGGTCTAAGAAGGGAAAAATTTAGGCACCTACTCAAAGGGAAAGGTGGGGCTGCGAAGCGTGAGGGCGATTGCTCAAGGGTTGACTTGCATAGGCTTTACAGTGCATACCCATGAAGTGAAATCGCTTTGCGGATATCCACGCCCAGCGATTTTCTACTCGAGCTGGTGGTCCTTAGCCGAAGAACTCTAGCCGTCTTTGCAGGCAGGCAGAGCAAATCGTTCACGTCAATGATGCAAACACGAGGAAGAAAACCAACGATGGAGTTTAATGATGTACTTTAATGTTTATAATATGTGAGTAAAACAAGGGATCCTGCTGCTCTGCTCTACCCCTTCGCTTTTCTTCGCTGCTGCACATCTTGTCGGCACCATTTTCATTCCACGCGTGACCAACTTATCGTACAGCCTGCCCTCAAACTTGTAGAGGATCATAAAGAGCACGTTTCAAGAAAGCTAGAAGAAACTTATCCATTCATGATACGATTTGACGGACACCTTTGTTTTTTCAAACACCTGATGTATTGCTGGACTCATGAGAACCCACAGAAGGCTAGCAACAGAAAAGGCAGCACTTAACGGAAATCGCATCGAAGATATTGTAGCTGACTGACCTTCATGGTGAAGGCGCTCTTGACAATAAGTGTTCACGAAAATGTACGAAAATACGGCCAGCTATCAGGTAGCGAGGGAAAAGGTCAGTGCTGCGACCCTATGCGACTGTTACAATATCAAGGCAAGCTGAGCTACATTGTGTGGTGCGCAAATATGAAAGCATACACAGCAGCTTGTGATTAAACAAACATAGATCCACGTTAATCAAATGATCTGAAAGGAAGTGAATAATACCATTGATGGTCTGGTGCCACAAGTAGGAGAAAGTTTGAAGAGTCCCTCTGAGGGCGCTTGCGCCTTAAAAGGCATGTCATCTCTAGATTCTCTCCCCCCATTTCAGTTTAAAGCGCATTTGCAGTTGTTATACACAGTTATTTCATTCCTCAGTCTTATTTCCTTCCGAGGAAGGATCTCGAACGAGTTTTTTTAAGCCATGTGCTAATGTTGGTGGTGTATAATACTGTAGCAGTAACAAATCTGCCCTCCAAATCTGCTGAGCAATACTGTGAACGGGCTGCAAAGGTGTACTCCTCATCATTGGGGTGGTGGCTTAACGGCCTGTAAGAAGGAGAATTCGCTTAGAGCGATGCCAGGTGATCGGATCCTCTCGCTTCAGTTTTTTTTTGCTTTTTTCATGCACGTTTAATCGGGTTAACAGTTGTATTTTAAGTATTTCCTTTATATCCTAACTTGGCATGCGGCATTAGCGTCGCAGCTACGACGAGGGCGTGTCGTTCTCGCGAAAGTGTGACCATGGTCTGGAGGAAGTCAAATACCGCTTGAGTAAAATTTCTAGACAAATCAAAAATTTACTCCTACTTCGAAAAACTGGGGGCGGTCATAAGTAGTGCACCCCGTTAGTTGCCGGTCCCTTCTACACCGGAAAAAAGCCAAAACCATCGCTGGATCGGTCAAGTTATTAACAACATTGAGACACGATTTGGGAGCGGAAGATCATAGTTTTATCTGATTTATTTGGCATTTTTCAATGCTCCTTAAGTGCTTGCACTCATTTTCAGAACCAGGAAAGCATAAGTATCATCACTGATAAAATTGTTGATAGATTAATGATGATTCATTTTTTAAAAACATGAAAAAGGTATGGAGATGCTCGTATAAGGGCGGTCCGCAATGTGTTAAACATAAGGCAGCCTGGATTTGCCGAAGCGCTTTTTGGAGCCTATTTTTTCTCTCCTTTTCTTCTCCTTTCTATTTCTGCTGTTTCGCTCCGAGCTAGTATGCCGTTCTCTTTCAGTTTCTAGAAAACGTAATAAGTGTCCAAAAAAGTTACAAGTCTCATTCTGAACTTCTTTATTTTTCTCTCCAGGTGGATATGGCAAAAAGTCGTTCGACTACTGCTAACAACACTGTACCTCACCAATGTCAAAAAAAAACAAGTGGAAAGGATCCGTGATTTTTTAAAATTCTCGTCAAGGATATGAGGAGTAGTCCGCGAGCCCGCATGAGCCTTACAAGGGGAGGACGGGAGGTCGAGGTGGCCATTCAGAATGTGATGCATATGTGATGTGTGACGTTTGAACGCTGACCTCACATCTGCCTTCCATATTTGCTGAACTTCTCTGAACAAAACTACAGAGCTTGTTGTGATCGTCTTCAGAATGTCACGTCATTTGCCGCCACAGTCGAGCTCAACGAGGCTTGCCGTAATCGCTCCAGCCTGAAGCTGTATGCATATTTCTTGCAGGTCCGATTACTGGTGAATAGATTCGCGAGGCACTTGTGACTACACAGACGCTTTTGACCAGCGTTGCATAGGGGACGTCCGTAATGGTCTAAGGTTACTCGATGACCTTGTTGAGTTCGTGCCATTAACCATACTTCCGTGGGAAAATCTTCGTGTCGTCGAAGTATGGCTGTTATGAGACTTTTTTAATGAATTAAAATTGCTCTCTAATACTCATTCGGGCTTATTTGCTTTGCTTTCACAAAGTGTAAATACTCCGTTTTGAATGTAGAGGGAAGGACTGTTTTTTTGTCCCCACCCCCGTACATGGATTTTCGATCTCACGTAGGACGTTTTTCGGACTCAAATTTTGGAAAGGCACGAAAACATTGAATCATCTATATTCTATTAACACTATTAACAATTTCTAGAGTAATCATCACTAAGCAGTAGCAGAGAACCTCCATCTATAGAAGTTTACGGTCCCTCACATCTTAGTAAAACATTGTTGAGAATAAGAAAATCTGCAATGCTATCAGTAAAAATTTTGGAGTGAGCCACGCCCCGAGCTTAATGAGCAGTCTCAGGATAATTCGAATGCGTGATCATTTCGATCAGTGATGCGTGAAGAACAAAAAGAATCATTTTGATACTCTGGGCTTACACGAGGGATGCCAGGGCTCAGTGGCCCTCATGGGGCTGGATTCAACCCTTCCCCAAGATTTTGGGGGACGGAAATCCCTTCAAATTTATTTGTTTATAGCGATATGGTTTCTTCATTTTCAGTGCGTTTTTATTTTGGCCTACATACATACATGAAATGTATGTACTTTATCGGTACAATCCCACCAATTGTCTTGGTAGTTGATAAGACAAAGAAAAGTCGCATCACGTTCATGCTTAATTATGAAGTTCCGGGAATTACGACGCTTGATGAACACATGGCGCACTTGTTCGTATTAAGTTCGCTTTTTTTGAGGATGCAAGTAGTAATATGATCACGATGACCCATTCGTGAGTGATGAAACCTTTTTTGAGATGAGCCACGCCTTCCTCTCCATTCAGAATCGTAGTAACATTTTGAATACAAATTGGCCTGTACAGAAAAAGCCACTTTGGCTACTGTCGATGTACAGCTTAGCGTTCCAGCTTGGGAGGAAGCTGTCACGCTGGCTTCAAGGTGGGGCTGCTACCCACGCGTCATCAACCGATAAGATGTGAAATAGATAATTTTGGAATGAGATCCACTCCAGCACAGCAATCGAACGATAACCATGTCGGTGTCACATCTAGTTTGCTGCCACTGCAACCTCTTTCACATCGATACGTGGGTGTATTTGCTACCCGGAAGTGGGTTTCGGCGCATTACCACGCTGTTGAAAAGTGGCACTGCCCCTGAAGCGTCACCAATCTTCTCCTTGGGTAGGCGATGGGGACGATAAGGAAAGTTACGTAGTGTATTTGGGTAGGCCCCTACCCAATATACTACGTAACTTTCCCTTTCGTTCCCATAGAGATTATCGTGATCATTTTCTTCACAAGAATTTAGTAGCAAATAGTTGGTCTTGAAAGGTTCAAAGATTTGATTGAACTGGGCAAACTTTGGCCCCGAAACTGACCGTCGCAATGTGCATCTTTACTCGCGCTCAATCTTACTTATCAACTCATATAACCAGTTTCTTCAGAAGTTTTGCGAGCAGCTTTGCCGATTCTGGAGCACTACTCTCGCTCAGTCACCATTCCCTCTTTCGCCTTTGTGATGCCTCCATTACTGGGCATGATAATTCGGAACATTATTCATGTTGCAGCATCAGTGACTGTCAATGGAATGGTACCATTATATGAAGCCACTAACTTTTTCGAGGCTCTTTTCGTCGTCCACAATGGAGTTCCAAGTAGGTTAACACAGCCGTAGTTGCGTACCGAGCCGTTTTTGCGGTGGCGAGCTCGCATGGCCGCACGTGCTTGCGCACCGTGCGCCACATGGTGGCGCATGCGGCCACACGGGACAGACATTTTTCGAAATTCTCTTTTGAGGGTACTTTTCACTTATTTAGTATCGG